CTGCCCCTCCCTCTCCCCCTGCCCCTGCCCCTGCCTCTGCTTCTCCTCCCCTGTTCCTTGTTCTCATTTCCCTGTTAATTTGCCCCCTTGTTTTTAGGACACGTGGTTTATTAAGTATCTAAAAACTAAGAAAAGGAGTTTAAATGTTTTGGGGTTTTGCAAGTCTGCAATGATCTTTTCCTCCTGTTGTGTTTATTGATAAATTGGAATTCTAGATTAGAATTTTTTCCTTCAGTTTTGAAAGGATTTCTCCATTGTTTTGGGGTTTCTAGTTTGCTGCTTGGAAAACTGATATGCAGTGCCCAGAGCCTTTTTATGTGGCTTCTTTTTAAAATGTATATGGGAGATTTTAGAATATTTTGCCTGTTTCTGGTGGTTTGAAATTATACTGATATGGCAAATTGTGTGCTTCATTTTCTGTTTGGTACCTTCTGAGTTCACCTAACATAAATTTGTATCTTTCACTTATGGGACATTTTATTTCTTTATTTTTAATATGTATTTATTTAGTATTTTAACTTTGTGTGTATGAGTGTATTGCCTGCATGTATGTGAGTGCATTGTGTCGTGAAATGCTGTGAAGGTCATAAGAAGGCATCAGATTCCCCTGGAACTGGAGTTAAGAACAGTTCGTAGCTGCCATGTGGGTGCTGGGAATTGATCCTAGGTCCTCTGCAAGAGCAGTCAGTGCTCTTAACCACTGAGCCATCTCTCCAAACCCTTATGGAACATTTTCTTTAACAGGATCTTCCCCTCCTCTGTTTTTGCTTCGTTTTGTTTGTTTGTTTGTTTTTTCTCTGTGGCATGGCAATTATTCAGGCACTGGATCTTCAGAGTCATTTCTCTAGATTTGGTTTGGTTTTGAGACAAAGTCTCCCTGTAGCCCCAGCTGGCTTGGAACTCACTATGTAGACCAGGCTGGACTCCATCTCACAGAGATTCACCTGCCTCTGCCTCCTGAGTACTGGATTGAAAGCATGCACCACCACTCCTGGCCCTCATTTCTCTAAGCTTTAAAGGTGTTTTTCTATTGTTTTCTGGAATGTTTTGCTAACTTCACCTTCTAACAAATTACTAACATTTTCATTTCTGCACTTATATTTTTAATTGTTGGGATGTTGTTGTCTGAATGTTTCTATGTCATTCTATTCTTTATGAATCCAGACTTCTTTCTCTGCAAGAATATTAATAAAAATAATACATTTTCTTTTTATCTTTTGCATTATCTGTGTGTGTGTGTGTCTATGGTGGGGGAGGGGGCAAAGGGCACCTTGGGTATCCATCAGGAGCCATCTACCTTGTTTTATGAGGCAGAGCTTCTTTTATGGCCTGGAGCTCACCAAGCAGGCTAAAACGCCTGACAAGTATGGTGTCTCAGCCTCCCCAACACTGGGATTGCAAGCAAAAGTGCCAGTATGCCTGGTTGTTTAATGTGGATTCTGGGGATTAAACTCAGAAGCTTATGCTTTCAAGGTGAGCACTGTATTAACTGAACTATCTCCCTAGCCCCAGTCTTTGTTTTCTCTAGGTTCTATTTAACAGTGTTTGTTTGTCTTGGTCTCAGAAAAATTTTGTTACTCGTTAGTCTTAAGGGTGAAATATTAGCAGATGATTGGAAGCTCCAAGGCCTATGTGGCTGCCTTGATTTCTGAGCAGTAGGCTTCATAGCAGGGTGATTTATTGGACTGTTTTGATTGGATTTTCTCAAAGGTCAGCAACTGTATTTTTTCCCCTTTTGGAATGATTAAAGTCGGAAACGAAAGTTCTCTCAGTCTTTTGGGGTGAGGAGGTTAGTTTGCCAGCCAGCTCCATTTTGAAGGCAGTTTAGGAGACTAGACAGGGGAGGTTGATCTTCCCCTTCATTATGCAGAAATCCAGTTAATCACCCTCCTTCAGCACCTACCTGCTCCCCCACAAGCCATATGCTCTTAGATTCAGTGTGTTCACAAATTCACTCTGTCCAGAGAATCAATACACACAGTCCTGCCAGGACAGACCAGGGCTTGCTCCTAGCTGCTTTACCAATGGCCAGCTTTCATCCCTCGCTCCTGTTTCCAGCATCAGCTGTCATCCTCTCTCTCCACTATTTTCTTGGTTGTTGATCTCTCAGGTAAAAATCCTTTCTGAGATGCTATAAATAAGTTATAGCTTCTTATGATTGACTTTCTTGAATTCAGTTTCACATTTTTTTTTTCTGGCCTGTGAAGGTGGTTAAGAGCCATCCTTCTGGGTTTTCATCAACTCGCTCCTGTTTCCAGCATCAGCTGTCATCCTCTCTCTCCACTATTTTCTTGGTTGTTGATCTCTCAGGTAAAAATCCTTTCTGAGATGCTATAAATAAGTTATAGCTTCTTATGATTGACTTTCTTGAATTCAGTTTCACATTTTTTTTTTCTGGCCTGTGAAGGTGGTTAAGAGCCATCCTTCTGGGTTTTCATCAATTTTTTCTTCTGAAGTCCTCTCTCATTGTCTTTGACCTGTTTGGTTTTATTTTTTTTTTTTTTTTTTTTTTTTTTTTTTTTTTTTTTTTTAACTGTGAGAAGCAGTATTTTGGTAAATACATGGGCTCTTGACCTCAATTTCCTGAAATTTCTGTCTTCATGACTGCATAATATTGAACAAACTAGTTTTGTCATCCTCAAAACATTGTAGATTAAAAGATTTACTATATATGAACTATTTAAAATCATAAATGGCTTAATAACTTTTTGCCATTAGTATTTTGGAGTAGTTTTTAGGAAAATGATGAATTGATGTTAAAGCAAGCATGCTTGTTGGGAGCACAAAGTCACAACATGAATTGCTAGGTGAATGCTGTCACTTCATCTAAGTGAGGGACAGATATCATGTGCCCATATACAAAAAGCTGGGCATGGTACTACACACTTGTAATCCCTGTGCTGAGAAGGGAGAGATAGATGAATTCTTGGGACTTGCTGGTCAACAAGCTAAGCCTGCTTAGTGAGTTCCAGGCTAGTGAGAAACCCTGTGGCAATAAAACAAAACAGAAACAAAAAGTGGATGGTGCCCGAGGAGGAGCAGCACCTGAGGTTGTCTTCAGAACTTGCACACACACACACACACACACACACACACACACACACACACACGTTGATCATGAAATGGTATTGGTATTCTATCTTAGGGAGGCAGCAGTTTCATCCATCTTATTTACTGCATCTCTTGATTGATTTCAAGAAGCCTCATTGAGAGACTGATGTATACCTCTCAGATTTACATAAATATGCTCTATGATGATTGTATATTAAGTGGCACATTTCTCAGAACATATGCCAATAGTTAAGTAATACATGGCTATACTTAGAAGTATTTTGTGATATAGCTCACATCTCATATTTTTCTGTCTTGGTTGGAAGGTCACCTCATGGATAAGGTTTGTTACTCTTCTCCTCATCATATAGATAACAGACTGGCATGATTGTGGATTAGAAGCAAAGAGAGATAGAAACAGGAAAAGGGTTCAGAACATGAGCCTCACATTTAGCATTGAAACACATTGGTTAGTCTTCTGTAAATTGTGTAATGCAAATGTGTTTTGTTTATGATACAGGTCTGAGAACCATTGGCGTTATCACCAAGCTGGATCTCATGGATGAAGGAACAGATGCCAGGGATGTACTAGAGAACAAGCTGCTGCCTCTTCGCAGGGGTAACGTACTGTGGTTTCTGCAGGCTGCCTTTCATTATGTGACAGAGAGATGACTGGCAAGCCACAGAGGCTTGGCTTTGCTGCTGCCCCTCTAGTAAGGGAGCAGTTTGTTATTAGCTATACTTTGTATGGAATGCCACAACATTCCCAAATGTTGTATTAAAGACTTATTCAACAAGAGAACTAGTCCTTAAAATAACAGGGATGAGAAAACAGGGAAAGGAAGGGGTTTGAAGAGAGATTATAAATATTCATCATGAGCTACATACATATGCACCATTCTGTTTTAAGCTTGCCTGCCTGCTATAAGATACTACTGTTGAAATACAGTCTCTTAAAGTGTGCAGAGCTTTAAGTGGTGAGGGACATTATGACGTTGCTGCTGACAATTATTATTAACCAAGTCAGTGATCTTTATTGAATAGTGAGAACTCCAATTGAATTTTGCAAAGACAGTCTTTAGGCTTCAAAACTAATTGTGCCAGTTGGAGAGCCTTGAAATGACTCTAGAATAAATTATAGAAAGTGTGAATATAGAAAGTGTGATGGGATATAGAAACATATCCCAGCGCTCTGTGTTTTGTTTCAGGCTATGTGGGGGTGGTCAACAGGAGCCAGAAGGACATAGATGGGAAGAAGGACATTAAGGCAGCCATGCTGGCAGAAAGGAAGTTTTTTCTTTCTCACCCAGCTTACAGACATATTGCTGATCGTATGGGGACCCCACACCTTCAGAAGGTCCTGAATCAGGTAAAAATTGTTCTTTCAAGCAATAGGTTCAATTATGAAATATGTAGACTACTGGAATTCATGTTTCTTATTTAAAAAATTTTTTCCAGAAAAGACACTCTGCTTATGATAATTCACATAATTAAAAAAATTAATGTGACTATTTAAACCCACATAATTACCATTTTATTTGTTTAATATTTTTATTTTATGTGTATGAGTGTATTGCCTACATGTATGTAAGTGCACCCGTGTTGTGCAATGCCCATGGAGGTCAGAAGAGAGTGTCGGATTCCCTGGAAAGTGGAGTTATTTATGGACGGGTGCTAGCTGCCGTGTGGATGCTGGAAACTGAACCTGGGTCCTCTGCAAAAGTAACCAGTTGCTCTTAACTGCTGAGCCATCTCTCCAGCCCCACACTTACCATTTTAGTGAATTGAATTCACCTTAATATTATTGAAAGGGCAGTGCTGAATGCATAAACACATACTTATTTAGGAACCATGAACAGGAGAAACACTTGTAAGCATGCATTTACTCACAATATGTAGTCATCCTAAGTTAAACTTGAGCAGCTCTGAAAAATTAGTCTCTTGGTATCTGCTTCAAATACCAGGCTCTGATGGTTAGGTTATATTTTCCATTGACTTTCTTTTGATTTTGTTAAAACATTATTTTTTTTCTTAATTCAAAATATTAAAACAATGAATCCTGATGAAGTAATCACTGATTTCCAAGAATCTAAAACACTTTCTCCACATAACATAGTCACCCCAAAGAAGTAGAATTGGAACTGCATTTAGCCTAGTCTTTTTTTTTTTATATATACTATCCCAGAAGTCCCCTGTGACTTACTTACATATCTTCTTCCCCTATGGGAGTTAAGCATCATAACAAGTTTTGTGGTCATTGAATACAAGCTTCCTTTCTGAGTTTATATTGCAAGAAGTCTCTCTCATAAATATTCTAATCATTTTTGTATGAACTGTCATCTATGAACATAATCTATCAATGAATCAGGTAGTCAGGAATGTTCTGATGTTGGCCTCCTGAAGGAATAAGTGGAGAATATCACAGGCACAGTAACTGAAGTTGTACCTGAACCACTTAACAATTGAAGACGTTCTAGAAATATGACCAGTGGTATACTTTTATTGTGAGCAACATAATACAACATATCATAAAATTTATGATTTGTAATTGAGAGAAAATTAATGTTTAAAATCCATGAAGAAATGTTTGGCTATGTCACTTAAAGTATCAATAGATTTTAAGCAGAATCACAGGTTTTTGTCATACAAGAACGTAACATTCTACCAATACAGACAGTGCTAGCATACATTTTAGATTATTGTTTTTATACCTGTATTGGCCTAAGAAAAGTATAGATGACTCGAAATTTTTCTTAGAAGAAATTCATTAATTTGAGTGGGAAAACCAATTTGGAAATAATTTAGGTTGTAAATACTAGAAAAATAGAAGGTAATTGCCCATTTAGCTATTATAGGTGATCACTAAGTTATGATATAATTGCAGTCTTCTTGACTGATATTTGACTGAATATTGTAGTGAAGACCTTTCTTTCCTAGATGATCATTCTCTGTTGTTTCAAAGACCTTCAGTCTGTGTTTGAAATGATGCTACCTTTTTAGGTGATCCCATGTGTTATGGATGCCTGTGGCTCTGAGGGGAAATTTGTATGGGGAAATAAAAGGAAAATGGTATTGCATGTTTGAGGAATTGAAAGAAATACCATTGGCTGGGTTGCAGGGAAAGAGGGTGTGAGCAGTTGGCCGTGAAGTTGGAGAGGTAGGCAGGGACTGGGGCCTCTAATGTTCATAAGCAAAGTTAAGGAGATCTGATAAATGTAACAAAAGAGTTAGATGGTTGAATTAAAAAGGGAGGAGATTAATGGTAGAGCAGTTAGAATTAATTAAAATTGGGAGATTAAGAGTAAAAACGATAAAAATTATGGCAGGTTGGTTTTGGTTAGGGCTAGTGGAAATTTTGAAGAGAATTGAGAAGTCAGTGGCAAATTAGAGCTTGTGATGGATGACAGAGAAACCCTAGATAACCATCTGGAATCATTCCCATGTTCAGAAACCTTTAGGAAAAGATCAGTGTGTTAGTTAGCTTTCCATTGCTGTGACAAAATACCTGAAATAAGCAACTTATAAAGGAAAGAGATTTATTTTGGCTCATGGTTTTAGAGAGTTCAGTCAGGGTCAAGAAAGTCAAGGAGAACCATGATTTAGAAAGCCAAGAGTAGGCCACAGTGTTGCTCTAATATTGAGATATCTGAGAAGCACAATGGGAACCAAGAGCACTTACTGAACTCTGGCAGCCCACTTGGCCTCAGGCAGTGGCTGTTTCTCATGGTGACTCTTACTCTCAGATTGGGTCCTTGTCTCTTGTAACACTGCTTCTGGGAGTGCATTTCTCTTCATTGTATGTCTTCTGCTTTGTAGCCACAAAAGAAGTACCTGCCCAGGAACTAAGACAAAATTCATTCCTGTGGTGCGTGATGGAGCCACAGACCACTGACGATTAAGTGACCATAGGTTAATGGAGTAGACATGTCAAGTAACCTAAGATAAACATAAAGACAATTTGGAATAGCTTCTTCCTTTAGAAGAAAGATGTTTTTATTTGTTCTCATTGCTTTTATTTTTCCTTTTCCTTTGTTTTCAACTTTTCTTTTTACAAGTTTTTTTTCCCTATTTTGAACTTTATATTGTCTGTTTCTTTTTACTAGCAGTATATTACTTCAGTGGGTCAAGAATATTTTTTTTCCCTCAATTCAGACTTCTCTTTAACTCTATTATAGAAAGAACATATGACGCAGCAAGTTGTGCAGCTTGGACTCTAGCCCACCTTTGCTTTTAATTAAACACGTACCATAGACAGGTTCTTCCAGAATGTTTATCCTATTGAACTTGGAGTGCCAGGTAATGACAGAGGAACTGCCAAACACGTGGTCAGCTAGGGATATCGGCAGTAGAGAGTTTCTCTCATTTAATCATGAAAAGTTTAACATCAGCTTCTTGAAGGCAGAAGCCAGTAACCAGTCAGAGCTGGCCTGGGCTGACACGTGAAGGGGCCTGCCTGAGCTTCAGAATGCAGAATGTTAACAGTTGGCTGGTACCAGTGCTACCCTTGACCACCTGAGCTCTACCAGGGGGTAATCCATTTGGTCTTGAAGACATTAGGTAACACCTTTAACTCTTGACTTCCTTCATATCTAGTGTATTCCTGTTTCAGTCTTCTTCCTACAAGCAGGTGATCTAAGATAATCCGTGCTAAGGTGTTATATGGCAGCCTCATGAGTAAGTTTAGCTGCATTTTAGCAGGGTATGGGAGGAAAAAAAGAGTAACCTGAGTGACTCTAAATAATGGACTTGTGGATATCTCCAAAGGACAATGGAGAAGAGCGGGCACTGCTTCTTGCTCCTCCAAACACAATCTCAAATTGTCTTTGTGGTTTCTATGCTTGTGAATGCTGTGAATGAGGAGGCTGAATTTTAATCTTCTGAGTTGATCTTCACTCTATTATATACATGGATGGCTTTGTTGTGTTTTATTTAGCAACTTACCAACCACATTCGAGATACCCTGCCAAACTTCAGGAACAAACTACAGGGACAGCTGCTCTCCATAGAACATGAAGTAGAAGCCTACAAGAACTTCAAGCCGGAAGACCCCACAAGGAAGACTAAAGCCCTGCTGCAGTGGGTTACCTTTCTCTTCCTTTGCTCATTTTAAACTGCCTGCTTAGGTCTGCTTTGCCTTTGTGTCTTCGCTATGTTGTTTCCTAGGCTTAGCAGAAGCAGCAAGCAACGTAGCTGGGAGCTCTCTCTGCGAATATTCTCAAAGAATAATTGTTCATTTTACTGTTATTATAAATTTAGTCAGTTGTCTATGTCCTGGATGCAGAGTTTTCCCCCCTTTTATCTTAGAAGTGGGTAAGCACAGAGGAACATGCCATTTATACTTCACAGCTGTCTCTACAGGTGTCACTTTATTATCTTTTTATTTTAATGATTTTGTGCGACTTGTATGTATCTTTCAGTAGAATGAGAGAAAAATTTAATTAGGAAGTGTAGAGAAAAAGGTCACATTTACTTTGCCTTTCTGGTGATGATTTTAATGTGGCTGTTTAAACTGCAAACGTAAAAATCCACCTAGCGGCTTTTATTCCTTCATGATTTTCCTATCTTCTACCTGGGTTGCTAGATTTAACTCTGAGGTGTTGTAGGATTGGATAGCAGAGTCATTATAGAACTTTTATCTCTCCTGTGACTCCTCTTGACCCCATTTGTCACTTCTTCCCTATGCCACAACTTTCTATAAGTCCCTTTTACTTGGAAGACTATTTCCTAGCATTCCAGAACATCTTAGGTATTCATCCAAAAATGATTCTTGATGCCTCTTTTAGCACTGTTTTATTTATTTATTTATTTATTTATTTATTTATTATTTATTTATTTATTTTCAATTTACTTTGTATGGTGTATGTGTGAGCATATGTTTTGTGTGTGTGTGTGTGTGTGTGTGTGTGTGTGTGTGTGTATACATGTGCATGATGGGGGGAGTGGTGAGGCCAGAAGTCATCAGGTCATCTTCCTCAGTCACTTTCTACCGTAATGGTTGAGACAGGATCTCTCACTGCACCTGGAGCTCATCTATTTGGCTAGACTATTCGGCCAGCAAGCCGCAGAGATCCTCCTGTTTCTACATCTCCAGCATATGAATTACAGGCACTTGCTGCCCTGCCTGACTTTTTATGTAGGTACTATGGATGTAGGTACTTTTTATGTAGGTACTTGCACTCAGGTACTCCTATCAACTGAGCCATTTCCCCAGCCCACCCTGTGGCACCTTTATTCCTCTACATTGTTGAAATAAAAACTCCCTTAATTATACATTAAAAATTTTAATTCTGTTTAAATTGAACCAGCTTTTGATGAAAGTTGTATATAAGATTATTCTATTCCTGAATTTTCTCATTTTCTTTTCTAATTTTCCTTTTTTTGGTTCCTATTTGGTGAGACTTGACTTTCCATTCCAGATTTTTTGTGGTCTTTGTCCAGCTTTAGCCTGGTGAGCCCACCTTGCTAGGGTGAGCGCCACACGGACAGTTACGTCATTAGCCTTTTCCTGTTGTACTCATTTGATGTAGATGACCTATTTCTTTCTGGAAACCTAGACTGCTTCGCCAATCTTCTGACTTCAATAATGTCCTTGTATAACTTGTTTATCCTTTTGGATGAGCATAGATCGAACATCATGCTTCTTTCACAGCTCTTTGGAAAGCCCTCTGAATGTGAAAAGGTGCATTGAAATGCCTTTTTTTTTTTCTTTTAAAAATACCTTTATTTTTTTCTTTTTGGTCTTTAAAAAAATTTATTTATTTTCTATTTTTTGAAATTATTTATTTAATAACAATATAATTAGAAGAAGCATTTCATGACAACAGCATTGACATATTCAATAACAATTTCCAGAGCTAAGATACGTCTGTTTCAAGATTGGTTGTAAATTTTTAGGTTTACAGTGGAATTAATACAGTTATACAATATTGTGCTCAGTATAAACCCTTTAAGACATAAAATTAAATGAGGTTTTAACCTTTAAAAAGATCTCCATTTGATTATTAAAATACACAGTTTCATAAACAAAAATTCATTTTTAATACAACTGACACTAAGATGCATATGTGTTTCTAATATCTATATATCTGATTATTACTAGTCACAGTCAGTTACTTTCTGTTGTTTTTTTCTTGGTAAATCAGACTAAAAATGTAATAACCACGTGATTAGGAGAAGCATTTCATTACAGCGTTAACATATTCAGTAACACACTCCAGAGCAAGGGTACATCTCTTTGAAAAGTGGCTGTAAATTTTTAGGTTCACAGTTGAATTAACACAGTTATACAATATTGAACTCAGTATAAACCCTGTAAGATATAAAATTGAATGAGTTTTTACCCTTTAAAGAAGAGCTCCATTTCAAGATATGCTGTTTCCTACCTTTTTAAAATATTAGCTTTTTTATTTTTTTAGAAGAAGTGTATCATTACAGCTTTAACATGCCCAATAACAGTTTCCAAAGCAAAGACACAGCTCCTTCAAAAGTGGCTATAAAATTTCTAGGTTCGCTGTTGAATCAATACATTTATACAATATTGAACTCAGTATAAGCCCTGTAAGACATAAAATTGAGTTTTTAACCCTCAAAGAGATCTCCATTTAATACTAAAATATATTGCTTCTTACAGAAAGACTCAATGTTTTTGCTACTAACACTGAGATAGTGGCGCATGCATCTCTAATCCGTATGTATCTGATTATTACTAGTCATAATTGTTTGTACTCAGATCTTTGGTGCCTGTGTATGTCTATAAAGTCATTGGGTAGATTTCAATGGTAGTGTTCATCATCTCTACTAATTAACATGATGTAAACTTTTATGCTTCCTCCTCAAATATAATACATTTTAAAAAATTTGATTTTTTTTCTGTGTGTGTATATCACACAAAACATTCCAAACCATCTTATTCAACTATACACACACTTCCCAGATAGCACTCTCCCATACTCCCCCTCCCCTCACTGAGAGCCCTTATACTCCTGTCTGCTTTGTTGTTGGCACCCCCAGCAATTCCCCACTACTTGTCCATCTGGTGAATCTAGTCAGCCTATCTAGAGGTCTTTGTTTTAGGAGGGTCAGCTTTTCCTCATCTAGCAGCAATTGGTTGTCAATATTCCTTTAGATAAGATTGGAGTCTGCTGTTTATTTTCCAAGTTCTATGCTGGGTTACTATCTGGGAGTCCCTTGGACCACCCTGGCCAACAACTCAAAAGAAGGTATCTCCTATCTGGCATTGTTGCTTCTTATGTAGCCTTTAACTATACATATGGACTCTTAAAAAATTATATTGGCACCTTTAATCTTTGGTTATACTTTCCTTTTGGGTGTTTAAGGCTATACAGTTGGCCCAGATAAACCATTTTATTTTTACTCTTAAGGTCGTTTGAGGATCTGTTCCTCAGGGGTCACATGGACTTGGGAGGAGCGCCTGGCTCCTCTCTTTTACCAGTTCTGCCTATATGAAGATAAGTCAAAGGTCCTACTAGACCGTGGCTGGCTTAGCTTGGAAGCATGGAGGAAACGTTTCCTCTGTGTTGACCCTTCTCTTTGTAGACTGGACACTGGTTCATGTCCATCTGGTGGGATCTCCTCGGCCTCCTTGATCAAGAGGACGGATGATCTACCACAATTACAGGACGTTTTGGGAGATGCTCATAGTCCCCTGGAACTAGTCGACCTAGGAGGGCAAAGAGCAAAAACTGTCCTTTATGTCCCTCTGACCAAATTAGTATAGGCCTCAAAGTATATCTGTTAGATATCCAAGAAGGTTACCTAGGCATATATTTCTTGATCTGGTATGTATATTTTGTCAGTAGGTTGTTGGACTACTATGGTTCCCTCTGTTTTTTAAAAACTAGCTAGGCATCATGGTTTCCCCAATTAAGGTGCCCCCATTTTCTCCCTTTCTCTCAATAATACTCTTCTCCTATGGTCCTACCTCTCTTGAGCTCCTTCTTTCCCTTTATCCCCTAAGTTCCTTTTATACACTTCCCTCTCCCCTCCCTTAAACTAACCCAATTTTTATCCATATTGCCCTTTTAAGGCCTGTCTCCTACTGTTCTTCTCTTTCAGGTTCTTTCTTTTCCTTTACCTCCCTGGTTACTTTCCATTATCCTGGTTCCTGTAGTTATGTCTGGATATATACCACTTATCAGGATTTGGTTCTAGGATCCACGTATGAGGGAGAACATACATCAAATTTTTTTTTCTGAGTCTGTGTT